TGGCCTTTGCCCAATTCCCACGTCCACACATCCACATGGTCATGCAATCTCATGCATCCACTCAGAATATAAGCCTCCTGAGACACCAGGAATGGAAACACCGTGGCCCCGCCCAGGCAGCCCATCAACCACCCCACACATGGTCACTGCGTTGGCCCATCTCCTACACGTTTGAATTCTCACACTTACTTCCCTTGGCATCCATACAAACATGGCCAACATTTACAACCAAACACCCACTCGCTGACTTGGTCAGATTCTCCCATGAACCATGTGGTAGTAGTCTCCTGGCTGTAGAACCACAACCCCATCACACATCTGAGCCATCATGGTCACAGACCAACTTGCATAACCTGCAGGATGGCAGCTCACACGTGGATATCCACCCTTCAGCCATTCTCTTATCGATTCAGCCACCCACACTTGCACAATCTCCTGTGTGTACTTTTTTTCTTGCACACACTGACACCTCTTCTCTTCCACCTGAGTAGATCCCAACCATGTCCCAGTCTAGACCCTCCTGCCTGCCTCCCTCTGTAGCCTAGACCCCACCCAGTCTTTCCCTGGGGGACTTGACCAGCGCAGGGGGGAGGGTTATGTGTGTGCGGGTGGGGGTGGGGGAGAAGCGTGGGCTGGTCCCTGACAGACCCCCACCTCCTGGCCCTGCAGGCAGGACTCAATGCCTCTTGTGTGTCTCCTTGTCATGAGGCCAACCATGGAAAGAAAGGGCAGTCAGTTTCCAAAAGGTCATTACAGAAGGGACACAAGATTGAAGCAGGAATCTTTTGGGTTAGATGCCAGGAAGGACTTTTGAAATGTGAATGAGCAGTTGCTGAAGGAGACCCCCTCGTACTGCATGGAGGCTGGGGTCTGGGACAGGGGAGAGTCTCTGGGCAGGGTGAGGTGGTGGATGTCAGTCCTCCCTGGGCCCCAGGCTAGAGAAGGGGCAACCGAGATTGTTCCATGGGGGAGTGACCCTTGTGGTCAGCAGAGCCTGGGAGTCCAGATCTCAGTCCCAGGGGCCTGTAACTCAAATGCCTCTTAATGACAACCCAGCCACAAAACAAGCAATTAGGAGTGGGGGTTGGCAGGCAGGTTGGGGAGACAGGGCAAGAGAGGCAGAGAGAGAGAGAGAGAGAGAGAGAGAGAGAGAGAGAGAGGAGATTTACATGCAGAACTATAGAGATAAAAAAGCACAGAGTTAGAGACCTGCAGATAGACAGAGATGGAAAGAACCAAACAACAAGGTGCCGAGAGAGCAAGGGAGTGGGATGGTTTGATTCAGAGTGGGATGCAGAGGACTGGGAAGATGGCACAGAAGGTGGGATCGAGAGAAAGAAGGAGAGAGAAGGAGAAGGAGGCTGCATCAGGAGGGAACAGGGGCTGGGATGAGGCTCTGGAGTTTGGAGAGTGAGTGTTCGCCCAGGAGGAGCTGGGATGAGGGTCTTCGCCTAAGCCCCTGTCCTCCCCATGTCTGGCCCCTACCCAGCTCCCAAGGATGAGTTCAGCAGAGCTGCCCCTGGGGGGTGAGGTCATGGCAGACTCAGCAGAATTTAGCTCCTGCCAAGAGGCTGGGTCAGGGGGTTAGTGGGACAGTCTGCAGAGGGTGGAGGGGATGTGATCAGGCAGGGGCTTTGGGCCCAGGGGAAGCCCCCACCCGCCCCTGCCCAGGCCATGTGTTTTCATTTAACACTGGCCTGGCTGCCTCGGGTGGGGCTGGGAGGATGGCCTGGATTTGGTTAGGGTTGGGCCAGACTGATCTATTCCTCTGCTGGGATGAGAGAGGGGGGAGGTTATCAGGGAGAGGTGATCAGAAGGAGGAGGTCAAAGTGACAGAACTGGGAGGTCACAGGTCAGATGGCAGAGACTGGGAAAGGCCAAGGGATGGGGTCAGCGGGTAATCGGAGGGAGAAGGCCAGAGGAAGGAATAGGAGAGAAGCCAGACGAGGGAGGTCAGATGGGAAAGTCAGAGGGAGGAGGTGAGAGCGGGGAGAGAGAGAGAGAGAGAGAGAGAGAGAGAGAGAGAGAGAGAGAGAGAGAGAGGTGAGCAGGGATGGGCAGAGGAAGGAGACTCACAGTGGCGGGGGTTACAGGAAAGAGGTCATGGGCGATGGTGACCAAGGAGAAGGTCAGAAGGAAGTCAGGGTTGGTGATGGGCAGAGGAAGGGGGTCATGGGGGACGGTGGTCAAAGGGCCATGTTCAGAGCAGCTGGGGGCCCAGGAGGAGGTCAGAGGGAGCAGGCAGGAGCGGAACGTACAGGAGCCCCTCCTTCCCGTGTGGTTCCCCTGGCGAGGGGACTCCAGGCACGGGAAGTCATCCCAGGAGCTGGTGCGGGGGAGTGGAGAGAAGGGGACAGTTTGGCTCTGGGGCTCAGGCCAGGAAGCTTTGATTCATCCCAGAACTAGGTCAGCTTTTTTTCTCACCAAAAACCAAGGGGGAAAAAACACCCCCGAGTCAACAGACTGCTCCAGGCGGAACATCTGTGCGGCGGAGAGGGGGGGGTTGCTGGTCCCAGGCCGCCTGCTTCTTCCGGAGCCATAAACACACTTGGGGTGGGGGGAGGAGGGGTCCCCAAACTTGAGCCCCTATCATGGAGTCCTGGGCTTGTTCTCACTGCTCTCTGCACCCTGGCTTCTCTCTGCAGCCGATCCTGTGGATGTGCTGAAGGCCCTGGGCGTGCGTGGGGGCCAGGCTGGGGTCCCCAAGGGACCTGGCTTCTGTCCCCAGAGGGCTCCAGAGGGTGACCGAGCATTCAGAGTGGGCAGGGCCAGCAGGCTCAGCATCCCCACACGGGAGCTGTTCCCAGGTGAGTGCGGGCTCCTGGGTGTCCTCACTGGGGGGCGTGGAGCCCTCTAAGCCTCCTGAACTGCCCGCTCCTTCTGTCCATCCAGATGGACACTTTCCCGCGAACTTCTCCATGTTGATGACTCTGAGGGCCCAGCAGGCCAATCAGTCTGTCCTTCTATCTATTTATGACGAGAGGGGTGCCCGGCAGCTGGGTCTGGCACTGGGGCCAGGTCTGGTCCTCCTAGGTGACTCCTTCGACCCCCTGCCCCAGCAGGTCAACCTCATGGATGGCCAGTGAGTATCAGGGGAGGGGGAGGGTCCAGGGAGGGTGAGGTGAGCAGCACCGGCACCGAGACCCTTCCCTTACAGATGGCACCGTGTGGCGGTCAGCATAGATGGAGACACAGCGACCCTGGTAGCGGACTGTGAATCTCAGCCCCCTGTGTCGGGCCAGAAGCCTCGATTCCTCAGCACAGCTGGACTCACTGTTCTGGGGACTCAGGACATCAGGGAGGAGACTTTTGAGGTAGAGTGTTCCGTGCTAAGGGAAACCGAGGCAGGGGTGACAAACCTGGAGAAGGAATTGGAGAAGGGAAATGCCCAGCCTCGGCCCAGCCCAGGGGATGGGAGAAGCAAGTGTGAGGCTTGGCCATCGTGGGTGGCCATGTGCGAGTGGAGCACACAGAGCCACAGACAGCGGGTCATGCTGTGCTGCGTGCTTGTCTGTCGGGGGAGCTTTCACTTGGGACGTGTGATGGAGACTGATCTGAGACAGGGCGGGTGACCGCTGTGTGCCATTGTGAGATGTGTCACCTCCAGGAGGCCAGGGACCTCATCTATCTCGTGCCCTTCCTGGAAGGGCCTGCACAGGGTAGCATCTCACTGTGTGCCTGCATCAAGGGACCAATGCACCTTCAGTGGGGCATCGTGGGTGTGGTTTGTGGGGTGATGTGATGAGGCACAGACAGCACCTGGGCTTCTCTGAGTTGCAAGGGTTTGCTGTGATGCGGCTGCCGTCCTTGTACCTAGGGTCTCTGGGCGGGGGGGAAGCGCCAAGGCTGCATGCCAGGAGGTGGGGGGCCATGCCAAGGAATGGGTGGGTCAGCCTGTGTCCCTGTCCCCACCCCACCCTCTCCCAGGGAGACATCCAGGAGCTGCTGATAAGCCCAGACCCTCAAGCTGCCTTCCGGGCCTGTGAGCAGTACCTGCCTGGCTGTGACAACCTGGACCCCGTGACCACAGGGGTGAGTAAGGGACTGTGACCTCAGGTCACAGCCTGAGGCGCCCCTGGCTCCAGGTGGCAGCAGGAGTGAATTCTAAAGCTCCAGAAGATGGGGTTGAACAACCTCTGACCCCAAACAGACCCCAGGCAGGACTGGCCTTGGACTCAAGGCACATAATGGAGTGGTCCTTGACCCCAGGTCACCAGGTTGAGTGAGAACTCACAGGTCCTGCGCCAGCATTGGTGACCTAGGTGACAGAGTAATAGCTTCTCCACTGGGGGACGCTCTAGACCTGACATGGACCCTCCTTCCAGGCCCCGCAGGGCGAGCCAGAGACCACCCCTCCTCGGCGCAAGGGCAAGGGGAAAGGGAAGAAGAAAGGGCGAGGCCGCAAGGGGAAGGGCAGGAAGAAGAAGGACAAGGAAGCCCCGACCCTGGGAGCACCTGCTGGCTCCCGGGAGAACCAGGTAAGGGGCCTGCACTTGTCACTTTGGCCCCTGCTGCCCGACTTCTGGCCTCTGATTCCCTCCTCTGGCCCTGGTTTGGAATCCAGCCTTAGACCTGAGCTCCCACTCCCCTTAGCTGACCGCCAGCTGATGACCATCTGGGGTGGGGTGACCCTGTCCTGTGGGCTTTCCTAGGCCTGCTCCCCAACCTCCAGTCCTGGGGGTCTCCCCCAGATGACTACCTGATTATTAGGGGGGTTTTGATGAGGGCTACTATTTAGGGGAGTCACTAGCTGGGGTGAATCATGACGGGTTCATTGATTGGTGTGTCATTTTGGGGGGGTGGGGTTCACCGACTGGGGTCATTGGTGAAGACTATTCCTTGGGGCAGTTCCTAATCGGGGCACTACTTGGCTTCCCTGATAGGGAGTGCTGGTCAGGAGGGTCACTGAAGAGGGTCAATATTTGGGATGATCCCAGTTGGGGGGTCACTGTAGGAAGTCATTAACGGAGGTCATTGTCGATGTTTTTGGCGTCCCTTGTTTAAGGTTAATGGTTGGGGGTCATTCGTTTGGGGGTTTTGTTGGGGGGGTCACTAGAATGCATAGTGGGGTCACCCACTGGGGTCATAGTTGTAGGGGTGATTTTCAGGGGATCATGGATGGGGTCACAGTTTGGGATCTCTGATGGGTTATCAGGAATTAGTGTTCAGGATCCCTGGTTGGGGAGCATTAGTTGGGCAAGCACTCCATGTTGGAGGGTCACTGGTTGGAGGAATAATTGATCAAAGGTCACTGGAAGAGTTGATTAGGTAGGGGAGGCACTAGTTAGTGCTTCTTGTTGGGGGATGTCCCTGGCTGGGGGTCTCTGGGAAGATCACTGGGTGGAGGAGAACCTGGTTGGGGCCATTGATGGGAATCACTATGGAGGGTCACTTATAGGTCACTGGCTGTAGGAGTCATTGGGGTCCGTTGCTGGAGGTCATTAGCTGGTGGGTCACTGAGTAGAGGTCCTTGGCACAGGTCACTGGGGACTTTAGTCCAAAGGTCACTGGTTGAATCACATCTCAGTTCCAACCTTTCTGGCCCTTAACAGAGAAACCATGAATAGTACGCCCCTTCCCAGCCACATCCTCAGCCCCAGCCCCTCACTTGGGCCCCGACTGCCCTCTTCCTCTGCCTTGACCCAGTTCTCGTGCAGCTGTTCAGGCCAGAAGGAGCTGGCTGACTGTGGCCTGGCTGGCTGACTGTGGCCTGAGTTCTGCCTTGGGAGAGGACATGTGGGATAGGCTTCCGGAGTCTGGCCCTGAGTCCTGGACCTTGACCTTGACCACTGAGCTCTGGAGCCAGCCTGGTTCTGCCTCGCAGGCCTCTGAACCCGGCTCAGCCCTGTCCCTCCTCTATGCAGGATGGCTCCCCCTGCTGGCCGTCCTGGTCCAGACCCCAGGGGCTGGCCTCCATGTTCTTTGGGAATCCTCCTGTGTCCCGCTCCCCAGAATGAGAGGTCCCTGAGGTCAAGGCCTGGCTCCTCCTTTGCTTCCCTTCTGTTTCAACCGGCCTGACCCCAGACCTGACACTTCCTCCATGCCTGCTCCAGACCTCTATGGATGTCCCCAAGATTGAGACGCCGGTTCCAACTCTGCCTCCCACTCCCACGCCTTTGGTCTTCACCACCACTGTGACTGTGGGCGGCAACGTCACCCTCCTGGAGGTCGGTGGGAAGTGGACGGTGCTGGAAGGGGCGGGCCCTGGGGTAGTGGTGGTGGCGGCAGACAATAAGGAGGCCAGGGACAAACTTTGACTGTCCCAATGTCCTCAGCGGGGACTGGATGCTGAAGGTGGAACCCAGCTAGAGACTCCAGAGCTTGGAGTAGAGACGGAGGAAGAAGAAGGAAGCGGCCCCACCATGGGTCCCCAGTTCCGGGCAGCAGAACAGCCTTCACAGGCTGAGTTCCAGATCTTTCCTGTGAGTCTGGGGCCGTGGGGGTCTGGTTAGGTGCAGGGGAAGGGACTCCTATCTGGAGCCCCAGGGACCTCATTCTTTCTCTTGATTCTGTTTGTCTTGCTTTGAATGCCTTCCCACGACCCCCGTGCAGTGCAGACCCCAGGGCCTGCAGTGTGACAGGGACTGTGTTAACAGATGACTCCGCGGGTAGGGTGAGGCACTGGGCTTTCAGACTAAGCGCATGAGAAACCCCTTGAAAGGGAACGTGAGACTTGGAGGTCTCAAAGCAATCTCCGCCTGCTCGATGGCACACGGACAGTAGGGGGAGCCAGAGAGGCAGAAGAAGCCTGTGGTCCAGGCAAGACAGGAGCCAGATTTGGGATAGGCTCCATTTTGGCCTTGCTGCTGGAGTGGAGAAAGGTAGATATGCCCATGGGACTATTGAATAAGGGGTGTCCTCTAGCCTTGTGACAGGGGAGTGGAGAGTCAAGGCTCTCAGTCTTCATGTCTTGAATTGCCAACACCTGGGTGACATCCAATGGCCATGTTAAAAGCGGGATGGCTAGAAGATTCTGGAGTTCAGGGGAGACTGTCTAGGCTGGAGAGGAAGACTTGGGATGCCTCAGTAGAGAGATGGTATCTTTAACCAAGATACTGGAATGAAATTACCTAAGAAAAAAATGCAGACAGAGCTGGGGACCCAGATTCTAGCCTTGGTGTTGGACAGAGGAAGGGGCAGAGTGGTTACCAGCCCTGCACCGAGGACTGTGTTCATCATTCATCTTTACGTGGGAGGGATGCAGCCGACTCTACAGGTGACCCAGTGATCTGTAACTGGCCAAAGGGGTTGAGTAAGTTCCCAGTGTCACTTCGTAAGAGGCAAGAGGCTGATCCAAGTTAGGACGCTCGGGAGTTTGTGCCCTTGACCTTGATGCAGCTTTGTCAGGTTGACGGAGGAGACTGAGCGTCTCGGCCTAGGCTCTGTGGGTGGGCCCTGTGTGTTTCGGGGACAGGGAGTGGACTCACCTCTTTTTCCTCTCTACCTCCTCTCCAGGGTGTGGGAGAGAAGGGTGCAAAAGGAGAACCTGCAGTGATAGAGCAGGTGAGGACCTGGGGCAGCAAGGGGCTTAGGGGGCCACTGGAACAGGGGTCACACACTTCTCTCTTTCTCTCCAGGGGCAAAAATTTGAGGGACCTCCAGGAGCCCCAGGACCTCGAGTGAGTACGGGCTGCACCGCCTTCTTGCTATCTTTGTAGCGGGGCTGTTCCAGTCCCCAAAGTGGGGTGTCGTGTTGCCTGATCATGTAGTGGCCACTGGACATTGGAGGCACAAAGGACATGTCAAAACAAGGGTTGGGACACAAAATTGGGGGTTGATAGGGATCACTATTGAATAGGGTAGCAGGAATGGCTAGGAGGTAGAGCAGAGGTCAGTCTGGGGTCAGGGGCCAGGAGGGTTGGAATTCAGCTTAGCTTTGCATTTCCGGTGACTTCTGTTTCTCCCTCCCCAACAGGGGGTGGTGGGCCCATCAGGCCCTCCTGGCCCCCCAGGATTCCCTGGGGACCGTGGCCTACCGGTAAGAGACTGTCTGTCTTCAGTGCGTGAGCTTTCAGGTTGGGAACCCGGTGGTTTGAATGTGGGTCTCAGGGGCTGGGCCTGGAGACGCCATCTGGAGTTGGTGATCTTCTGCTGATCTCTCTCTCCATCTGTGATAAAACGGGCCCTTCTTCTGCTGCTGGGGGCCAGTCCCCTGCTTTTCTCCCTGGGCCTCTGTTTCTGTATGTCTTTTGTCTGTCTCTCTCCCTATATCTTTGTCTCTGTCTCTCTGTCTTTCCACCTCTCTTCCCCCATCATTCATCTTCTCTGTCTCCCTTTCTCTGTCTTTGTCTCTCTCTGTCTCTTCCTGCCTCCGTCCATCTTTCTCTGGTGCCCTCTCTTAGGGCCCTGCTGGCCTCCCGGGAATTCCTGGCATTGATGGGATCCGGGGCCCACCGGGCACTGTCATCATGATGCCGGTAAGGAGCTGGGGTGGCACAGCCTTGGGGAGGAGATCCCTGACCACGGAGGAGGCCTCTGCTCGGAACTGCCCTCACCATCATTGCTCCTTAGTTCCAGTTTGCGAGCAGCTCCCTCAAAGGACCCCCAGTGTCCTTCCAGCAGGCCCAGGCTCAGGCGGTACTGCAACAGACTCAGGTGAGTGGGATGGGGGAGTGTTCATGGGAGAGATGGCAGAAACGAGGGATAATGAAGGTCTGCCCAGGAGACAGGGTGGCAGTGTCTGTTTCCTGAGATGCATGTCTTGGTTTGTCTTCTGTTGCTATAACAAAATACCCGGGACTGGGTAATTTATAAAGAAGTGTATTGGGGTCATGGTTCTGGAGGTTGGGAAATCCAAGAATATGGCGCTGGCACCTGCTCAGCATCTGGTGGGGACCTTCTTGCTGTGTTATAACGCAGCAGAGGGCATCACACGGCAGGACAGAGCAAGTGTGCCAGCTAGGGCCTCTTCCTCTCCTTATAAAGCCACTAATGTCATTATGCAGTCCCACAATCATGACCTCATTTACCCCCAATCATGTCTCAAAGGCCCCACCTCTAAATACCATTAGTATATAAACTGGGGATCAATTCTGACACATGAACTTCTGGGGGGCACGTTCAAACTGTAGTAGTGCCTTTGAGGGGATCTTGTTTGGGGGTCTTGGGGGGAAACTCTTGGTTTTGTTGTCCTCTATCTCTCCAGCTGTCCATGAAAGGTCCCCCCGGCCCAGTGGGGCTCACTGGACGCCCAGGCCCTGTGGTGAGTAAGGGGTCTGCAGAGAAGAGGGGCAGCAGCCGTGGAGAGGGGTCACATTCCTCCAACCACTTCCCCGTCTCTCCTTCCCCAAGGGTCTCCCTGGATACCCAGGTCTGAAGGGAGAAGCAGGAGAAGTGGGGCCACAGGTGAGTCTGGAGGGGAAGGGTCTTCCCCCGAGGCCACAGGTTAAAGTGGCCGCTGGGGAAACCCTCACGGGGCCGGGGTTTGCAGTTACTGCCTTCCCTGGTGAGTGCCTCCCTTCTTTTTATCCTTCCTTCCTTCTTCCATCTTTTCTTTTGCTTCTAGGGTCCCCGAGGACTGCAGGGGCCCCCTGGGCCACCTGGTCGAGAGGGCAAGATGGTGAGCACCTTCCCGGTCCCCAAGCTACCTTTTGCCCTTCCCTCATGACCCAACAGGCACCGGGGCTCTGTGCCTCCAGGGTCCGCTGGTGTCCCTCCCTGAGGCTGGCAATGGAAGCTCTCCTGAGCGTGGGGCTCAGGAGTCGGGCCAAGGTCCTAGAGTCAGGGAGGACGTTGGGACAGGAGTAACCCACCGCCCGAGGTCTAAAGTGGAACCAGGAAACTGGCAGGGAAGAGCGTTCCGGGCAGAAGGAACAGAGCAGCACCCTGGAGGAACTGATCAACACGACAGTTCCGGGTGGCGACCGAGGCCGGGAGCACCACAGCAGGGCCATCGTGGAGGCTGCGGTGGGAATGCTCAGTGTTGACGATGATGGTGACTCGGGCTAGAATTAGGGGGCTGGGGATAAGGACTTATGGAAGACCCCAGCCAAGAGTCCAGAAATGATGGCAGATCTCTTGATGATGATGACGAGAATGTAGTCGAGTTCCTAATTTGGGGACGGGGTCCTGGGGGGGGGGGTTTATCCCTGACACCTGGGCTCACTTTCCTCCTAGGGCCGCCCTGGAGCAGACGGGGCCCGCGGTCTCCCGGGGGACACAGGACCTAAGGTAGGCCCCAGGGCCGGGTCGGGAGGCGGGCGCTGTCGGGATCAAGGACCCAGGCTCAGCTGGGGTCTCTCTGGACAGGGCGATCGGGGCTTCGATGGCCTGCCAGGGCTGCCTGGTGAGAAGGGCCAAAGGGTGAGTGTGCGAGTCTCCCCACAGCCAAGCCCCCTTCCCAACACGTCCGCTCTCCTTTCCTTCCTGAGCACCAGAGCCTTGGCCTGGTGCCTGAGTCCTCACGCCTCATGCCCCTCCTCCTTTCCCGGGGGGGGGGTCTCCCCTGCATGATTCCACCCTCCCCTCTGTGCCCCCCTCCAGGGTGACTTTGGCCGTGTGGGACACCCTGGCCCCCCAGGGGAGGATGGTGAGAAGGTAAGTTTGGAGGAGGGTGCGTGGAGGAGAGTCTGGGTGACCATGGGCAAGGAGGAGGGCCTTTGAGAGCTGGGTGGGGAATGGGCTCTGCCCGGGAACATGGGGAGCCCTGGGGTGGGGGTGGGGGCATCTCAAGGGGAGCAGGAGGTGGACTTGGGTGGACACACCTAGACCTGGAGTCAGGAGCCTGCGGAGAATCCATGCCCTCAGACGGTGGGATCCCAGGGTTCCCAGTAAAACCTAGATCCCTGGAGCCGACGCCCTGGGGCTGCTCCAGAGTTGGGCTTCCCCCTCTCCAAATAATGGCCTCTCCCACAGGGAGCAGAGGGACCCCCAGGGCCCACTGGCCAGGCTGGAGAGCCAGTAAGTATCCGGGAGCCCTGACCGCGCTCGCTTGGTGCAGGGCAGAGAGTGGGAAGTCCCAGGGCCCCCGGATTCCTGCCCACAGCCCTGAACTCCCGGGACCGCAGGGTGGAGCTGGGGTAATGCTGCTCTTTCTTTCAGGGACCCCGTGGACTGATTGGCCCCAGGGGCTCCCCCGGCCCCCTGGGACGCCCGGTGAGAATGTCGTCGCCCCTGGCGTCCCTGCCTTTTCTTACCTGTCCCCCTGTGCGTGTCCGTTTCCGTGGCCTGGTAGCTCTGTCTGCTTTTCCTTTCCGCCTGTACCTCTCAGGGTCTTCCTCTCGGGCGCCCGGCTTGTCCCCAGTCCTGGTCTCACATCCTCTCTTTCTCCAGGGTGTCACCGGAAGTGATGGCGCTCCGGGTGCCAAAGGCAATGTGGTAAGTGTCCTGCCGTCTGAGCCTTGGCCCTTTCCACTCCCTGAGCTCATAATCGTCATATCCTTGTCTGCCCCTGTGGCCCCTCATGTCCGCCTTGCTGACCCTCAAGGCCATGACCCGGTGTCAAGGAGCCCTCATTCTCTCCACAGGGTCCTCCAGGAGAACCAGGTCCTCCAGGACAGCAGGGGAACCATGGGTCCCAGGTTGGAACTTAGACCTCGGACATCTCCCAGCCTCCCAGCCTCCCAGCCTCCCCAGCCTCCGCAGCCTCTGCACTCACTGCTTTGTTCTCAAGCCTCACCCCCTCCCTTTATGTCTCTAGGGAATTCCCGGCCCCCAGGGGCCCATCGGCACTCCTGGGGAGAAGGTGAGTGACCACTCTACCCATCGCCACCTCCTCATGTCATTCTCCGCCAACTCTGTGGCCAGGAAAATCCTTGCACCAGGGCCCCCCTGTCAGCCGGGGCTAGTGATGAATGGCCACATCCCCTAAGTCAGCCGAGAGGTACAAAGTATCATTGTGGGGAAAGCCGCTGTGAGGAACGGAAACCACCAAGGCCAGACCACAAAAGGGGGCATTGTGAGGATACAGAGGACCCCACAGAAGCCTTAAACAGAGGGGGTTTCTAAGACGCACAGGCACAGCAGCCCCTTCCCAGGGCCCGTGTTCTTCTCCTTGTTTCTGTGCACATCTGTGCCCGTGTCCCCTGGCAGACAGGCTGCTTTCTGCACATGTCTGTTTGTCCCCACCCCCCTGCCAGCTGCTATTTCTGCACAATCCTCAGCTGTGGTGTGACCATTTCTGGCTCCAGCTCCCCGTGACCTTAGGTCTCCACCTAAAGCCATGCCATCCATCATGGTTCTGTCTCTTGCCTCTCAATTTCTGAAGAGAAGTGGATTGGCTCAGATGGGCCCCGTGGTCCGTCTTTGGACCTGGTAAATGCTTGCAGGACCAGGAGGTTACCTCATGCCTGCCTAGACCCACCCTTCTGCAGATGGAGCTCGGGGTGGGGGACACTTTTAAAGAAAGGGGTGCGGCTGGGAAAACTGCCACCCTACCCCGCAGCATCTCTTACGCTGTCGCTCCGTTTTGTGCTCAGCTTGGAACCCAGGGCCTCCTGCGGGCTAAGCAAATATTCTTTTAACTCTGGGCTCCATCCCTAGCTTCTCCCGCTGGTTTACATCCCTTCTCTCCAGGCTCTCAGGGGAGGAGGATTTTCTTTTCCTTTTTTAAGTATGTAAATTCATATATATATAAGGCCACACCTGGCCTTGAACTCACAGTCCTCCTGCCTCAGCCTCTGGAGTAGCTGGGATTACACATGCATCCCCGCAGCTGGCTAGATGAGGAGGACTTCCCATACTCCAGGAGAGCAAGGGGCTCACCCGGGGCCAGCCAGCAAGTTTGGGCAGAGCTGGGGTAGATTTCCTGGCCAGAGGCACCACTTTTTTGCTAACTTGGAGGCAGCTGCCTGTCTGCAGAGAAAAACCCCTGCTGCAGGACTCTGGGCCCTGTCCCCTGTCTCCCTCTACCATTGGTCTTCTTTCAGGGCCCCCCTGGAAATCCAGGAATTCCAGGCCTCCCAGGAGCTGATGGCCCTCCGGTGAGAATCAGGGGCTGGGACAGGGAGGAAGGGTAAGGGACAGGCTGGCAAATGTTGGTCTTTGATGACTTAGCGTGTTTCTTCCTCAGGGTCACCCAGGCCATGAGGGTCCCACAGGAGAGAAAGGGGCACAGGTGAGTGGCCAGGAGGAGGCTGGTTTGGGGGAGGAGGGTTGACAGACAGGGCCAGGAGTCTGGGGCCAGTGAGGAGAGCCATGGCACTGGACACACAGTGCGGGTGGAACAGGGTGACATTGGCCTTCTCTTCCTCTCAGGGTCCCCCAGGATCGACAGGCCCCCCAGGCTATCCAGGAGGCCGCGGCGTGAAGGTAGGTGAACCCTGTGCCTAGAGAGGCATCAATGGGCCAGGCATGATGGAGTGGGAACGGGGTTTGGATCTGAGCATTCCGTAAGCCCAGTGATGTCGAGGTACAGTTACATACACAGGAGTCTCTTTTATCCACCGTTTCCCTTTCCAAGATTTCTGGTACTCATGGTCAACCTCAGCCTGAAACTATTAAGTAGAAAATTCCAGAAAGAAACAACATAAGTTTTAAATTGCATGCCATTCTGAGGAGTGTGGTGAAATGGTGAGCCATTCTGCTTTCTCTCTCCCAGTACGGGAATTGTCCCTTTATGCAGAGTATCCATGCAGTATAAACTACCTCCTCATTTGTCACTTAGTAGCTGTCTTGGCTGTCAGATTGGCTTTCACAGTATCACAGTGCATTTGTTCAAGTAACCCTTATTTCGCTTAATAATGGCCCCAGAGTGCAAGAGTGTTCACGCTGGCATTTCACATATGCCAATGAGAAGCTGTAAAGTGCTTTCTTTAATTGAAAAGGTGAAAGTACAATGAGATATGTTTGGGGGCGTATATTGTTATAATTGCTATAAAATGATTAATTATAACAGTTTATCATTATAATTGTTCTCTTTTATTATTAGTCACTGTTGTTAATATCTTTGTGTGACTAATTTACAAGTCAAATTTTATTATAGGTATGTACACAGAGAGGGGGAAGAAAAACATAATATATGCAGGGCTCAGTCCTTTCTGTGGTTTCCAGCAACCACTGGGGCCCTTGGGTGAATGCCCTGTAGATAAAGAGGAACAACTGTGCTTGTGCCTGTGTTGTAGCTGAATCTAGTTACATTGCAGCCCAGGCCAGAGAACAATTGTAGCCAAGTTTAGTTACATTGTGGTCAAGTTAATTACCCTGGGGCTGGAGCTAGTCATGCTATTTCCAAACACAGTTGCATTGTATCCAAGTGTAAGTTCATGGTAGCCTCTGAGCTCACAGCTCTGTTGCAGCCAGATGCAACTCCCAGAGTTTCAGGGAGCTGGCCTCCCGGCTTGCACTGAGCAGTCTCCCTGACACCAAGCATGGCCTCCTCACCGCCAGCACAATGGGGAACATTCCTCTGCCTTCGGAGTGAGCCTGGAGTCTGGAATGTTCATCTCCCTCCTGCCAGAAGGAGCTGTGGACACAGTGTCCCTGGGAAATGGGAATCAATTTACTTGGAGATCTCGCCTTCCCTGTGCACCCCACGTGGAAGGCCTTGGGAGGCGGCCAGGGGCTGAGGGGGAGGGGCATGCACCCTGCAGGCCCTGGGGATGCACCCTGCAGGCACTTCCTCCACGGCTGTCCCCTGCGGCGGAGCCCGGGGCTCTCTGAAGCAGAGAAGCACCGAGAGCTACTTCCTTTGTTTTTCAGGGTACCTCTGGGAACCGGGGCCTCCAAGGAGAGAAGGGCGAGAGGGTGAGAGGGACGAGACCCTTGGAGGGGGGAGCCCCCGTAACGGGGCCCTGGCTGTGTCTGTCCCCGAGGCCCTGCCTTCTGACCTCTGTCTCTCTCTCTCACCCAGGGAGAGGACGGTTTCCCTGGATTTAAGGGTGATGTGGGGCCCAAAGGCGATCGGGTAAGACAAGCCCCTGATGAGGGGTTGGGTGGGCCTGGGGGGCTTTGGGCTTTGGGGAGACAGAGGGGGTGAGCTAGGGCTAAGGTGGGGCTTGAGAGGCAGGAAAAGCAAAAGTTGAATTCAGTGCCTCTTCTTTCTGTTCCAGGGGCACCCAGGACCACCAGGTCCCCGGGGAGAGGATGGTCCCGAGGGGCCAAAGGGGCCAGAGGGTCTGGAGGGAGAGGAGGGCCCCCCAGGGGCAGCAGGGGAGAAGGTGAATAAATGTTGGTCCCTGTCCGTTCTCTCTCCCCAGTCCTTTGCTACTGTCCCCTAGGTAAGCACTCCACCCTGCCACGCCCCCAGCCTGTGCTCTTTGATCTCTGACCACAGGATGTTTCTACCTCATTGTCACCCCCTCGGTTCCACAGCTCAGCATCTGAGCAGGCCCACGCACATCTTATTCCAGACCCACAGTCACCACGTGCAATAGGCATTGATCCCCGCTTTTACAGGTGAGGAATCTGACCTTTGTCCTGAACTCTCTCTGCAGGGCAAGCTTGGGGTGCCAGGTCTCCCAGGTTACCCAGGACGCCCAGGACCTAAGGTAAGAAGCCAGGGAGCTGGGGGTTGGGAGGATGAGGGGTCAGGGACTAATATATGGGGGGCCCAGGTTGTGGTCTGAGTGGTGGGCTGTCGACCTCAGGAGCCACTGAGAGAGTATAAAACATGGGCTTTGGCATCAAATGGAGTTAGGATCAAATGCTCACTCCTTATCAGCTATATAACCTTAACCAAATATTTTGAGCCCATTTTTTTTCAGCTGCAAAATAGAGAGATACCAGTAGTATTATCCTCATCAATTTGATGATGATAAAACGATGTGATCCTTATTTGTGTAATCAGAGTTGGCTCATCAGCCAAGTTCATGAAGGGGGATGTATGACTCTGTCTTCTGTGGCTGTAACAAAACACTTGAAGCTTGGTACTTTGTAAAGCAAAGAGGTTTAGCTCACAGTTTTGGAGGCTGCAAGTCCAAGATCAGTTGGCCCTATTGGTTTAGCCTTTGGTGAGGGCTTTCCTGGCTATATCCCTTCCTGGTCTATGGCATCATGGCAGGAATGCATGCAAGAGGAAGAGATGTCATGGCAAGACAGGAACCCAGAGAGAGAGACAGAGAGAGAGAGGGGCAGGTGAGGGGCCAGTCTTACTCTTTTATAACAACCCTCTTGTGGGAACTAGCTGGGTTCCCAAGAGAACTGCATTAATCCTTTCCCATTAATCCCAGTGACATAAAGACCTCCCTCTAGGCCCCGCCTCTTAAAGAATCCACCACCTCACTATGACCACACTGACCACAAAGCCTCTATCCCAGGAGCCCATGGGGGACAGACCACATTCACCTCCCACAGGAGGTAATCATACATAATTCAGATATTACATATCTTGGATTTATTGGACCTGATAAAGTGTACTTATACAAAATGTACTTATATAAAAACATACGTTTCTTTGCCAATGTCTTGCTGGATGAGCACACGAGGAGGTTTATCTTTCTGCCTGCACCACGCCCGTGTTACATCATGGGCGACTCATCCTTTCTGTTTACATAAAGTACATCGGGATCTTAAAGACACTCCAAACAAATCTGAGTGCAGGGTTCTTGCAGAGTCTCCCTTTTTCGCCCTCTGGAGCCGAGGCGGAGATCTGACCGACATCTACTTTCTGGGACAGCACCTTGTGTGTATGCCTGTGGCTTTCCGTCGGGGTGCGTCTTTTCCGCTCGGCTCAGTTTTGACGGACATCGACATCCTTCTTTTCCTACGATAGCCCATCCGTTCTCACACATCTCCATCGACTTGCATGACCTGGGTGGCAAGCACTGGGGACCTAAAGGGGCTTGGGGGCAGATTCAAGACACCCCGGTCACCTTAGAACTGAACCCCTGCAAGGGGAGGTTTGTGGGGACTCATTTCTTGGGGTCTCTGGTAGGGGTGCTGATGGCAATGGCCGGAGAGCAGAGTGGAGAACATCGCTGCCCTCGTGAGCCGTCAAGTGGGGTGGGGGGAGGGGGAGGGGCCGACCAGGGTGCCCATCCTCTTCAAAGGCATGTGCACAGTGACCTAAGGACCTCCCTCTAGGCTCTGCCTGTTAAAGTTCACCACCTCCCAAGAGCCCACCTCAGGGACCCAGCCCTGAGCACATGGGTCCTTGAGGGACATTCATCAAAACCATATCAGGCAGCTGTTTCTTGAGCACTTACTAGGTGCCAAATGGGACGTGACGCTGGTTCTGTGAAGGATTCTACCGAATCCTCTCCCAAACCTTGTGAGGAGGGCACTGTTGGTGTCTGCAGGTGACAGATAAGGAAACGGATGGTCAGAGAGACTCAGCCCCTTGTCCAGAGCCACACAGCTGGGGAGGGGTGGATCTGGGACCAGACTCAGACCAAATGATGGAAGGTCAAGGACACAGGCAAAGCTCTCGGTGAGTGTCTGTCAGGCAGGCCTGGTAACAAGCTGATCCACCAGTAAGAAGCTAAGATGCTGGCAAATCCCGGTGGGTACGTGAGCAGAACTCTTGAAGCGTGTAGGGACCCACCATGTGGTCCTGTGGGGAAGGACAGGGTGGCCCTGGGGTGGGATTGGAGCCGGAGGGCACCACACACTTGCTGGGCAACTTGGGCAGGTGTCTGTCCTGGTCTGGACTCAGCTGCATAGGGGCGGGGGGTGGGGGGGCAGCAGAACCTGGGGATATTTACCCCCTGGGGAGGCAGGGTCCTTCCAAGAGGTTTGGGACACACGACTGGCAGATGACATGCCATTAGCTGAATGGCACTGACCGCGGGCCACACAGTCGGGAAGGCCCGTGAGTCAAGTCCTCGTCTGGGAAGCGGACATGGGATAAGTAAGAAAGTGAATGAAGTCATTTCAATCCAGGGGAAAATGCCACAGGTGACAGGCGCAGGGTGACTTGTAGGAGGTGGTGGTCAGGAGGGTGGCCAAAGGGCATCTGAGGGCTGGAGTTGTAGCTCAGTGGTAGAGCACTGGCCTTGCAAGGGTGAGGCCCTGAGGTCAATCCTAGTACCACAGAAAAACAAATAAAGGCATCGAGTCCATCTACAACTAAAATAAATCAATGAAAGGCCGCCTGAGATCCAAGCCATGCGGAGTACCTGGCTTTCTGGGCCTGGGAGGGGAGTATTTTAAGCAAAGGGAGCAGTCTGTGCAAAGACCCTGAGGCAGGAACATGCTTCTGTGCCTAAGCAACATGGGGGAGGCCAGTGTCTTCAGCGGATGGAGCAGGGGGAAGGCAGAGGGCTGCCTTGGAGGGTGCTGGGGCTGGAGGGACCCAAGGAAGCCACCGGAGCCAGTGGCCCAGAAAGGTTGATTCCCCCGACCAGGCCCTGCTTACCCCCTCACTTCTCTGCTCTCTCCATTCAGGGATCTATTGGATTTCCGGGGCCCCTGGGACCATTAGGAGAGAAAGGGAAGCGGGTGAGTGGTGATCCAGGGGGTGGGAGAGGGAAGGGCCAGCTGGAAGGGCAGGGTGGCGGCGGTGCTGGGCCGGGTCTGTGTTAGGGCGCGGGTGGTGATCCTGGTGCCGCCTGCCTCCCGCGCCCTGCCTTACACCCGTAGCCCAAGCCGGTGTGTGCTGTGGCCCCTGCGCTGGTGCTGGGGTGCGCTCGGGCTGCCCCTGCACGCGCATGGTGTGACTGTGCACATGCGCGTGTGCAAAAGGGTGTGGATACACGCACGTGTGCCTGCTCCTAGCATCGCCATGTGAGGTCGGGGGTGGGTGCTCGCGGGGTGTGGGCGACCGGGCTGTTGACCAGGACAACAGCCTCATGGAGTCTGGGCGTGTGTGCTTACGCGGGGTGTGCGCGGCCACCTTTGGTGGTGTTCCGCGTGACAACGGTGTCCACTCGGGCGCAGGTGGTGGTGTGCTTGGGCCCCGTAGGTGCCATCAGACCCGGAGTGGGGGGCTGTGATCTCCCACGCTGTGTGTGTGGGAGGCTGTGAGTGTGCGGCAGGCGTGTCTGGGTGTGGCGGGTCATTGTCCCTCTGTCCCCTGACCCTCTCTGCTTGCCTTCTCAGGGGAAGGCCGGGCAGCCAGGAGAGGAAGGAGAGCGGGGACCCCCAGTGAGTGTGCGGTGCCCCCACTGCTGGGCCAGGGGGACGGGGCTGGGCGGAGGAGCTGGGGGAGGGTGGAGGAGGCCTTGAGGGGACAGGAGGCGCCTGGGGGCGCTGGGCGCCGGCTCCTCCGCCTCTCACTTCTTTGCTTTCCTCTGTGCAGGGCTCCCGCGGGGAGAGGGGGCAACCAGGCGCCACGGGGCAGCCAGGCCCCAAGGTATGGGACCAACGGCTCCCCTCACTTCCCCATCCTGGGTCACCCCCCACTGGCCCTCCCCAGCTGAGCCTGTTCTGGGGTCTGAACCTCATTCACTCTGTCCTAGGGTGATGTGGGCCAGGACGGGTCCCCTGGGATCCCCGGAGAGAAGGTGAGTGAGTGTGTGTGTGTGTGTGAGAGAAAGAGGGTGATTCTGAGCAGGGGACAAACTCTGGGGTGGGGGGACATTAAAATACACTGGAAAGAGCGCCGTCTCAAAGTCAGGAGAGGGCCATGGGTCCAACATGCCAGCTTTGCCGCTAGCCAACTGTGTGACCTTGGGCAAGTCTCTTAACTTCTCTGTGCCTGGATTTCCCTCTCTGTGAAATGGGAACGGCCACAGCCTCCCCTCCCCCAGGAGGGCTGCGGTGCTGAGTGGGATGACTTGGCTGGGAGAGTGCTCAGTCCGAGCCTGGCACGCAGTAGGCGCTCCCTAGGTGCCCGCTTCTGGTTTTTGTTTTTGGTACCGGGGGATTAAACCAGGGCGCTTAACCACTGAGCCACATCCCAACCCCTTTTAATATTTTATGAAGAGACAGGGTCTCGCTAAGTTACTTAGGGCCTGGCTCAGTTGGCCTCAAACTTGTGGTCCTCCTGACTCAGCCTCCCAAGTCACTGGGATTCTAGGCTGGAGCCCCTGCGCCCGGCTTTGCGTGCTGGCTCCTGAAGTCATGATGAGTTAGTGGTTTCTGGTTCCATTTCAGGGCCTCCCTGGTCTACAGGGCCCCCCAGGATTCCCTGGGACAAAGGGCCCGCCTGTGAGTAAGGTCACCCTGATTGGGGTTTGGGGAGGGGAGAGGTTCTGCACCTGTACCCCAACTCTCTCTGGCCTTGTTCCCTAGGGCCCCCAGGGGAAAGACGGGATACCAGGGCACCCTGGACCCAGGGGAGAACTGGTGAGTGACCCGTTGACCTCTGACCCCTGACCTGTCCGGTCCTCCCTTTCTCCCTCCCACGTGACACCTCCATCTTCTTTCTCTCCACAGGGCTTCCAAGGTCTGACGGGCCCACCGGGACCCGCCGGGGTCCTGGGTCCTCAGGTCAGAGTGGGCCCCACAGGCTCACCCGGCGGGGGACACCGTGGGCTGGAAGCGGGGGTCTGACCGCCCCCGCGGCCACCCCCATTCAGGATGCACCCTCTTGCTCTCCAGGGAAAGACAGGAGACGTGGGGCCTCTGGGCGAGCGGGGGCCCCCGGGCCCCCCTGGACCTCCCGGCGAACACGGCCTCCCGGGCTTGGAAGGCAGAGAGGGGGCCAAGGTGAGACCCCCGCGACAGGCGGTCCAGGTCGAACGGCCCCCAAGTGCCCCCCGTGGCCCCCGGGCCACTCAGGGCTCTGAACCAGCTGCGTGGGGGGGCAGAGTCGGAGCGGAGACCCCCGAGCCTGACCCCCTCCCTGGACTCTGCAGGGAGAGGTCGGGCCCCTGGGACCTCTTGGGAAGGAGGGGCCACCCGGGCCCAGAGGCTTCCCTGGCCCCCAAGGCGCCCCTGGGGACCCCGTGAGTATTCCTTGGGGGCCCCGTTTGTGCCTGGCTGGACGCAGAGGAGGGCGGGGCCCGGGGGAGGGGCGTGGCCTCCTGGGGGGGGGCAGCCGGAGCCTAACAGAATGCAGGCTGGGGGGGCCCAGAGGAGGTGGACCCCAGACTCAGCGCTTGGTCCCAGGAAGGGGGTGGCGACTGCGTCCCCCAGAGTGGAGACGGGACCTGGGCTTCCCTGGGGGTTTCCTGACTGTGAGTCATCTCCTTCCTCAGGGACCCATGGGTCTGAAGGGTGACAAGGGCCCTCCTGGCCCTGTTGGGGCCAATGTAAGTACAAGTACATCTGCTGGGTGGGGAAGGGGGTGGGAGGAACTCCGGGGGATCAGAAGCTTGGCACTGTTATGCTTAAGCCTGCTGTCTTTGAAGTCAGATGGGCCTGGGGCTCACCCAGTCCTGCCACCCATTGGCTGGGCAGTTGTACCACTGGTGAGCCTGTTTCCTTACATGTAAAATTGCTATGATGAGAAGCTTCCTTTTTTTTTTTTTTTTTTATCATAAGCCTTAATGACATGACCTGTTTGCATTAGTTTGTCTTACATTGTTATAATGACATGCCTGAGGCTCGGGAACTTTATAAAGAAGAAAGGTTTACTTTAGCTCCTAGTCCTAGTCCAAGGTCAAGGGACTGCCCCTAGTGACGGCCTTCCTGCTGGCAGAGTCCTGAGATAGTTGAGAGAGAGTGCATGTCCGTACGTTTGGTCTCTCTCCCTTTTCTTATAAAGCCACCAGGATTCAGTTGGGGACGACAGCCTAAGAATTTTATCTAACCCTAATAATTTCAAAGGCCCGCCTCTGAACACCATACTCAGATTAAGTCTCTGCCCTGCCAATCCTCACGGTGGGGATCACGTTTTAACACATGAACCCCAGGGGCCAACACACTCCACCAATGGCGCCACCCAACAAATGCTCCCTGTGGCGGGTCCTCTCTGGTGCTGACCTTCTAGTGTAGTTAGTGACGTGCTGTGAGGCCAAGCGGGAGAGTTTGTGGAGCCTAGGGGACAGCAACTTAAACAGGCCGGTCAGGGAAGGGCTCCCTGACAGGTGACTCTGGAGCTGACACCTGAAGGAGGTGAGCAGGGAGCCCGCGGGGTTCTGCAGGGGGGGTGTTCTGGGAAGGAGGAACAGTAGCTGCAAAGACCCTGAGGCAGGACCATCCCTGACGTGCTGAGGAGCGGCAGGGAGGTGCCTGTGCCTGGGCTGAGAGTGAGGGGAAGAGTGAGAGGAAGCGAGGGCAGGTGGCAGGGGAAGGTGGGCAGGGCTGATGGGCCTCCAGGAGGACTCTCTGCTCTGAGGGAGGTGGCAGCCACGGAGGGTGATGAGGAAGGAGGGACGTGCCTGGACTTGGGTGCCCAAGGGTGCCCTTGGCGGCGGTGAGCAGGGAGCAGGTTAATATGATGCTGGGGACAGCAGGTCCAGCGGGGAGACGTGAAAACCCTGCTGCTGTCATGACCGCTGACCCTCCTTCCCGTCCACAGGGCTCTCCCGGTGAGCGCGGTCCTGTGGGCCCGTCAGGTGGTATTGGGCTTCCTGGTCAAAGTGGAGGGCCAGGCCCGGTTGGTCCTGCAGGAGAGAAGGGGTCCCCGGTGAGTGTCCTGCCCACACCAGCCCTCAGCGTCTCAGGACCCGGCTCCTGAGGAACACGCCGGCCCTGACCCCCCACTCTCCCCAACAGGGAGAACGAGGCGCCCCCGGCCCCACCGGCAAAGATGGGATCCCAGGGCCCCTGGGGCTTCAGGGACCCCCCGGAGCTGCTGGGCCTGCTGGAGAGGAGGGGGACAAGGTGAGGGGGACAGAGAGGCCGGTCGGGGAGGCTGGGGTGGAGGAGGCTGGCTCCTCCTTCACCCTGTTTTCTCTGCAGGGAGAAGTGGGTCCCCCTGGTCACAAGGGGAGCAGAGGCGACAAGGGAGATGCGGTGAGTGGGGATCCACTGGCGGGTGGCCCTCAGAGGGGGCAGGAGAGGCCGGCGTGGGGGGTGGGCTGCCTCCTCCAGCCCCGTGCCCACGCCTCTACCCAGCTGCCCCGGTCAAGGGGCCACAGACGAGGAGACGGGGCCCCGGGAGCTGGGGAGGCATCGGGGGTGCCCGCCTCTCCTGTTCCTTGGTGGCGTGGGCGCCCCTCTGCTGTGACCCTGCTGGGCCTGGGGACATTCTGTTCCCAGCTTCCCCCAGAACTTCCGCTCCAGTAACCCGAGCTGTGCCCAGGGGACACCCAGGCCAAGATCCTGATGGGCCGGGCTTAGGCGGACACCTGTCCCTGACCCCATGGACTGGGGCTCGGAGTCCGGTTGGGGAGGGAAGTTTTAAGTGGGGGTGGGTGGGGAGGTGTTGATTGACATTTCCAGAGGCCCCCCCCCCTCCAACCTGGAACCAAGAGGATTTTCTATGTGTCCCTCCCCAGGGCCCACTGGGACCAACAGGGATACGGGGTCCTGCAGGACTCCCCGGCCCCCCGGTGAGTGTTCCCAGCTTTGTGACCCCTGACAGGAAGGGAGAGTGTCCCTCTGCAGGACCCAGTCCCAGTCTCCGCCCAACCCTGTTTACCCCCAATGCCGCCGCCGACACCCAGTGTGGACTCACCTCCATCCTCAGCCCCAGCCTCAACCCTGCTCATGACCTTGACCTCAGTCCAAACTCAAGCCTGATGCTCAAATGCCAACTAAACCTAGCCTCGTCCGACCCTCCACCCCACCCTGACCTCTGCTGAACCCAGATCTGAACTTGAACTTGGAATTGGACTCTGGCCTGTCTCAGAGTCAGTTTTCTGTTGCTGACTAAGGGAGACCTGGTAATTTATAAAGGAAAGAGTTCTGGGGGCCGGGGTAGAGTTTAGGGCAGCTCAGTGGTGGAGCATTGGCGTGCTGTGCACGGGTCCTGGGTTTCATCCCAAGCACCCGACACACAGCCACGGAGGTTTGCTGGGCTCGTGGCTCTGGAAGCCGTGAAGTCCAAGGGCCTGGGGCTGGCATCTTCGAAGGGTTGTTCACCACCTGGCGGAGGGCAGCACCTGGGAGACAGATCACGGGGGCCAACCTGGGCCATCCTGGGCCAACCCTCATCATCTAACCCCAGGGCTCATCTCCAAACGCCATTCACACAGGAACCTCCAGGTTCCAACACATGAGCTTCGAGGGGGCACATTCAAACCACAGCAGGCCCCAACCTCAAACCCAATCCTAAATCGCACTTCCACCCCATCTGGACCCTGCCCTGTCTTTAACCTGGGCTCCAGACGGGGCTCATCATCCCTGGCCATCTCAAAACCTTGAACTCCAGCCTTAAACTGAAACCCAACTCCACACCCAACCCCGACCCTTCCCAATCTTAATTCCAACCCTGACTCCAAGCCTTAACCCCGACCCTGACCCTTGACCTTGAACCTGGTCCAGACGCCCCGGTGCCCTGCCTCTGTCCTCCCAGGGAGCCGACGGAGCGCAGGGACGCCGTGGACCCCCAGGCCTCTTTGGGCAGAAGGGAGATGATGGAGTCCGAGGGTTTGTGGGGCTGATTGGCCCCCCCGGCCTGCAGGTGGGTGTCTGAGTTTGGGGGTGCACCTCCGATTCCCGCCGTGTGCTCTAACCCTGCTGCTCTGGTCCACAGGGGCTCCCAGGCCCTCCTGGAGAGAAGGGGGAGGTTGGAGACGTCGGGTCCATGGTACGACCCCAGGGAAAGGGGGGAGGGGGCCCCAGGGAAGGGGTGGCCTTTTGGTCCCCTTGGGGGTGGTAGGGCCCGTTGTCATTTTTAGGGTCACACAGGTCATCAAAATCAAGGGTGGTGTCTGCAGCCTTTGGGGGGGGGCGGTGAGAGTCACTGGGCACTCTCTGGTCCTTCCACAGGGTCCCCATGGAGCTCCAGGTCCCAGGGGTCCCCAGGGTCCCAGTGGCTCCGAGGTGAGAACTCTGGGGGGAAGCAGGTGGGAGGACACCCGTTTCCAAGGACGGCTGTCGGGATTCCACGTCTCACCTCTGCCCTCTGCTGTTCCCCCAGGGCCCTCCGGGGCCACCTGGAGGAGTTGGTCAGCCAGGCGCTGTGGGCGACAAGGTGAGGAGAGCAGGGGAGGAGGCGGCCGCTCTGGGTGTCCCGCCCCATCTGCCATGACCAGGACCTCCCCCTGTCACTTTGCTTCCTGCAGGGTGAGCCAGGAGATGCTGGAGACCCAGGACCCCCGGGAACTCCAGGCATCCCCGTGAGTGACTGTGTGATGTGGCACTTGCACCCTGGGCAGTCCTCGGGCTATGGACGTCCCTGGTTATCTTAATGAAAGACCCCTAGAAGGTCTCATGGAGGGCCAATGTAGAGTTGCATAGGTCGTACACTGTACAAGAGTGCAGGCTGAGGGGCTGCTGGGGGTTCAAATCCCGGCTGAGCTCTGACTTGAGAATGAGTTGCCCAGAGGGGCCTTTTCCCATTCACTCAGAAGCAGCACGTGGCCGACACTGACTTGTCCATGGCCAGGCAACTGGACCAGCCATGCCCCTAGCTCACATAAGTCCTAGGGTTTTCTGCCCTCTAGCCCCTGGGTAGCTGGGTTAGTCGGATCTGTGACTGCGGAAAAGCCCAGGATATTAACCCTCGGTCTCAGCAGAGTCTGGGCCACTCTGACCTCTGACCTCTGACCTCTGTTTCCACAAAGGGGCCTAAAGGTGAAGTTGGTGAAAAGGGGGACTCAGGTCCATCTGGGGCTGCTGGACCCCCAGGCAAGAAAGGTCCACCTGGAGAGGACGGAGCCAAAGGGAACCCGGTGAGCGGGGAGGGGGGCAGAGGGCAGGGGCCGCTCAAGGCCACTCGAATCTGTTCCTAAGCTGCTGGCCAGGGTCCGTCCAACTTACTGATCAGACTGACTGACAGACGGAAGGAAGGAAGGAAGGAAGGAAGGAAGGAAGGAAGGAAGGAAGGACAGAAAGACTTATAGACTTCACTGACAGACTGACTTACTGAGTGACAGACTGAATGACTGGCTGACAGACTGACTGAATGAATGAAATGCCAGGGTCATCTCCTGTGTGTGGAGCAAAGGCCGACGTCACATTGGGTGGTGCTAATGGTGGTGGAAAGTCAGGGTTAAGGCGGATGCTGAGTCAGGGTTCGGGTGGCTGTGGGACCGCATGAGGGCTTCGAAGGTTGAGGCCCGTCTTTCATCTTGGTGGGGCTTGCGGTGGGGGACAGGAGCTTCTGGATACCTGTGCCCCGCCATCGCCACCCTTGCTGGCCCGTCCCCTGAGCCCTGGCAGTCTGGATTCCCAGGCTGCGGGTGAAGTGCGATGACACCTGGGATTCTCCCAGCTCATGCCTGCGCCCGCTAAACCCTGGGATGTCCCTCTGCGGGGCCTGGGTTTGTGCCTGTTCACTGATGTGGCCCTAGCAACCAGAACCGGGACACTATCTGCTCAGTCAGTGAATGGCCCCTCGAGATTCAGAGCCGTGATACGAATCACTCTGTGTTCCAGGGCCCCACGGGGCTCCCCGGAGATCTGGGGCCCCCAGGAGACCCTGGAGTTCCGGTGGGTATAGTCCCTCCCCACGAAGCCTGGCCTGTTCCTATTCCTGTCCCCATCTCCCCCTCCCCCCAGAGCTGGCCGAGGTCAGCGGGGGGGTGGGGGGATGGCCCTCACGACCCTCCAGGCCCCACCTGAAATCCTCACGCACCCCGTGACCTCTCCCTCACCCCCCGCTGCCTCCTCTCACCCAAACAGGGCGTCGACGGCACCCCAGGAGAGAAGGGAGACCCTGGTGATGTTGGGGGGCCGGTGAGTGGGGGTCAGGGAAGGTGGCGCTGGCAGAGGAGGAGGGGTGGTGCTGGGGACTCTGGGCTCACGCCCAGCCAGCGCCGGCCAACAGTGACGCTGGCACCGCTACCATCTCTACAGGGGCCGCCGGGTGCTTCCGGGGAACCAGGTGCCCCCGGATCCCCTGGAAAGAGGGTGAGTGACAACCCACCTCCTGGCCCCGGCTCCAGGCTGGCCCCGCCCACCCGCAGTCCCCGGTCACCCCGAGCCCCCACTGACCGCACCGGCCCCTCCCGACTCCTTCCCTCCTTAGGGCCCTTCGGGTCGCATGGGTCGAGAAGGCCAAGAGGGGGAGAAAGGCTCCAAGGTGAGTGCTGGCCCAGGAGGGTCCCGGCCTCGCCCCCCACGGCCGGGCCATGAGTCCCAGGTGGAGGCCAGGAGGCCAGCACCCTCTGACTCTCCTGGCCTCTGCCTTGCCCCTTGCCCTTTTCAGGGGGAGCCAGGTCCCGATGGGCCTCCAGGGAGGACAGGCCCAGTGGGGGCTCGCGGGCCCCCTGGCCGTGCGGGCCCCGACGGTCTTCCCGGGATCCCTGGCCCTGTGGTGAGTGCCGTAGAGACTCGGGCAGGAGCGGGCTGGGCTCTTCCTGGTGGTTTGCACCCACCTTGGAATCATCAAAGTTGGGGGTCGCTGACCCCGGTGGGCAGGGGGCACGTCCATCCTGGGTTCTGGCAGGAAGAGCCGACCTCTGTTCTGTTTCATCCTCAGGGTGAACCAGGCCTCCTGGGACCCCCGGGTCTGATGGGTCCTCCAGGCCCCTTGGTAAGAGACTCCTTTGTTCCTGAGGCCCCAGCTCTGAGAGCCACACTGGTCATCCAGGGACCATCTAGTGACTGCAGTGCTTATGGTGCAGGCCGACCCCTCCCTGACCACATCTGGCTGCCCACACTGACCGTGTTATTCTGACCATCCATGCTGATGGTCTACACTGATCCCCAGCCCCTGATCTGCCATCTTAATGGTCTGTACCGACCACTCATCTCGACGGCCCACTCATACCACAGAGCATTCGTACTGGCCATCCTGGCACCAACCCCTCATTCTCTCCCTGCATCCCCGCCCCCGTCGCACGACGGCACCCACAACCACTTCCTGGCAGTTCCCGTTTGAGATCTGGGTAATCTCCCTAGAGACCATTTCCCAAGCACCCAGGAGATTTCACATTGAGAATGACCAGCTGACCCTTGCCTCCCCGCAGGGGCCCTCTGGCCTACCAGGGCTGAAGGGAGATGCCGGCCTCAAGGGGGAGAAGGTAAGGATCCTTCTCTCCACCATCTCCACACAACCCCCCCTTCCTGGCCTGAGGGCTGGGAGGTTGGGGTGCCCTCTCCTCCCAGCTCATCGCCCCTAGGCTCCCATCTCCCAGCAGCTCCCCGACTTCATCCCGGTTTGTTCTCCAGGGCCACATTGGACTAATCGGCCTCATCGGTCCCCCTGGGGAGGCCGGTGAGAAAGGGGATCAGGGGTTGCCAGGCGTGCAGGGGCCCCCTGGCCCCCAGGGAGACCCTGTGAGTATGTGTCCTGCCCTGAATGGGAGAATATGTTCAAAGTGGGGGGTGGGGTCCGGGCTTGTGTGGAGACGGGCGTGGGGTCTGGGGAAGCCAGATCTGGAATGATGGGGGTTAAGTGTGGGGAAAATGGAGGAGGCACTGGGGGCTCGCAGGTCGGAGGTTGTGCTTGGTGCCTGGGTGTCTCCCTGGAGGAATCATAGGTTTGTCTCAAGTTCCTGATCTTAAGGGGAATATATCTGGGCAATAGGGCTGCATCACACTAATACTGACCCTAACGTCCCTTCTGCAGGGGTCCCCTGGTCCTGTTGGCTCTCTGGGCCACCCTGGACCCCCAGGCGTGGCGGTGAGTATGGAGGAGTTTGTGGGGTGGGGTCACCAAGGCAGGAAACCAGGACCCCAGCTCTCTCTGTGTCTGTCCTCCAGGGCCCTCTGGGACCGAAGGGCTCCAAGGGGTCCCCGGTGAGTAGACGCCGTTCCCTTGTCTTCCACACCCCAGCTCGCCACCTCCCTCCACTTCACCAGAACCCGCCTTGCCGCGAGTTCATTCATTTATTTATTCTCTCAATCATGCATCCAATAAATATTTATCCAACACCTACTGTTATATTTCATCAAATCTAAGATGCCATCAATTGTAAGAGGCACCATTATTTTATAAACTGCTATGAAAGAAAACAGTTCTGCCAAGTAAATTATGGCTTGCCAAAGACGTTAAGATGTTGATTTCAGACATGTGAAAATATGGAAAGAAAATGTGTGTCTTGTGCTTAGCGCTGAGCACTGTGGGTCCCTCCTGGGGCTGTATGTGTGTGTGTGTGTGTGTGTGTTGATGGGAAGGGGTCTCCGTGGACCGAGTTCACCTGAAGGTGACTTTTTCCTACAGGGATCGCTTGGTCCCCGTGGAGATAGGGGACCTCCAGGTCCCCCAGGCCCCCCGGTGAGTTCCCCAGGGAGCAAGGGCTGTGCCTCAGACCTATGGGGAGGGCAGGGACTGTGTCGTGGTCCCCAGAGCTCAGTTAGGGACCCAGG